CATGTACCATCAGTGGTTCAGGCTGGCCACAACATGTTAATTCATTCAATCATAACAACTGCACAAAACCTGTACACTTTACACCTACTTACACACAGGAAATTGTAATACAGAGCTTGCCTTAAGCAGACACAATCACATAGAAGTGACAGGATTTGTATCCAGGCAGTACAGTTTTGATTTTATTTGTTTTGGGGGGTAGGGGAGCTAGGGATTGAATCCATGGATTTGCTCACCTTACGCAAACACTATCACTGAGCCATATACCTAGCCTATATCCACTATGTTACACTGCAGAAAAGTGGCCTCTTCAAACCTAAACTGAGGTCACACTAAGTCTCACTTATTCCCAGTGACCACATTTGTCCTATGTTAAAACAAACAGCAAGACCTCAAATAAAATGCAAGGTACTGAAAATATGTTAATATAATTCAAAATACTGGTATAGCAAAGACCTACTAATTGTAATAATTGAATTAGTTCATGTACATTAGCATTTTCAGAAATTATAATTTGGGAGGCTGAAACAAGGGGATCTCAAATTCAATCATAGCCTAGACAGTTTAGAGACTTAGGGAGACTTTTTCCTCAAAATTTAAAGAGGCAAGAGGATATAGCTTAGTGTGAAGGCCTTGGATTCAATCCCCAGTACTGCCACACAAAAAGAAAAAAAAAAAAAAACAGAAAACGAAATGTAATTTTCAATTCCCACCAAAGGTCTTTCCCACAAAAACAAATCTACATATACTTTACATACAATCTTACCTAAACAAAATCATATTGTCTCCTACTGCATTCTGTCCTTTCTAAAAGGACAAACATTATTTTAAACAAACTATCACTCTTTCCTTAATTTACAAAGCAGCTACCCTGACCTAAAAGGTAAAGGTATGCTCTGTACTTTGCTTATATTCCTAATTAGTGACTCTTAAGAATTTAAAAACAAACTCCAAAGACTACTCCCTAAAATCTAGTTCCTGAGACTGAAAGTTAATACAGATTCTTATCCTAAAAAACAAGGAACATAGCACAAATGAAAAAGATAAAGGGGGAAAATCTTTAATGCTCAAATGCGGAGATTCAGTTTAATGAATCATTTTAAGAACTACAGCAAAGAAATTAAAACTTCTGAGTCACAGAACCACATCCCATATCTGCAGCCCTGCTACACTCTTTGAAGAGAAATAAGCCTTAACTTAGTAAAACCCAGAGACAAAAGCAAGCACTGAGTAGATTTGAACAAAAATTTGGATTTGCTCTCCCCTTTTGGATGTATCTGTAAACAATCTCATCAATATATAATGCATCTAATAAATTCTCACTTTAGAGGCAACCTGGGGAGGAAATATTTAAGTTCCGTCTTGTTTTGTTTGTAGCAGGAATTGAACTCAGGACCTTGTGCTTGCCAGGCAGGGACTGTGCCACTGAGCTATAACCCTGGCCCTGGAGAATTATTTAAAGTAAATAAATCATTACTAAATCTGTGTATAATTCTTTTTAGAGAATCATGCTACGTTTCCTAAAAAACAAGATCTGTAAACTCTAAAGGTATACCCCAGCAGTAATATTTTCTGACCAAAGCAACTGGGTATTAGGCACACCACTTGTCTACTAAATCCAGGTAAAGAAATCTTAATTGAGCATCTCAATTATTACTAAAGACCCTGGTATCAAAGTATTACTTAGTATTCTTTATTAACTGATAATTACTTTACCAGATTGCTATCTGTACTGTGAATCAAAATAAACTTTACAGACAGTACTTTGATTTGAGCCAGGGGCATGGTAGCACAGCACTTAGGAGGCTGAGGCAGGAGGATTACTGTGAGTTTCAGGGAAGCCTGAACTACATAGTGAGTCCAAACTACAGAGGGACTCTGTCCCAAACAAAACAAAACACAAAAACCAAAGAGCAGGAGGAGAAAGTAGTTTGACACGTCTACCACTCTCACTCATCCCCCAGTCTATTTATAAATGCATCTGAGGTGATAAAATCAATACCCAAAATAGAGACCTGAAATGTGCCATCCTTAGTGACTTAAAGGTGCCATTACAGACCAGATTTCTCCAGAAATCTGGCAGACACTTCCACACCAACATAGTACTGCTTCGTTTCAAATTACTAATTAACCATCTACTGGATTAGAGATACATTCTCCAAGTTATAATTAGATCCTAACTAGTTTAATTTTTGGTCTTTTATCAATCTAAACAAGTTTCTTACATGTTCTGTAATTTCAGGTTCCTCATTTATCAAACAAGTAGTCAGGACAGCCTAGATATGTCTTAAAAAGGAAAGAAAACAAAACAAAACAAAATATACATTTAGTGAAAAGGTTTTCCTTTTTCCTCAATGCTTTAGTAATTTTTTGGCTTGTCCTTTAATTTATATCCGAAGACAAAAGTCCAAACATTGACCTACTGACACGTTAGAAGGCATGTACTCCAAGCATCCTGGTTAAAGACCAAAAATATAGGCCAGGTGTGGTGGTGCATGCCTATACCAGCTCTAGGGAAGGTTAAGGCAGAAGGATTGCTTGGAGTTTAAGGCCAGCCAGGGCTACAAAGTGAGTTGAAGGCCAACCTGAACTGCGTAGTGAAACCGGGTCTCAAAAGACAAGAAAACCAAAAACAAACAAAAACTCCCCAAAATACTACCCAATCCCTGGGGTAGAATAATCACTCTTTTTAAAACCAAAATGAAGCTAGGCGTAGTGGCGCACCCTTATAATCCCTGCAGTTTGTAATCCAGGCACCTGGGAGGCTGAAGCAGGAGAATCCTCTGAGTTCAAGACCTGCTTGGGCTACAAAGTGAGCGCAAAGACAGCCTGAACTACACAGTGAGATCTTGTCTCAAAAAAAAAAAAAAAAGACGAATAAATAAATAAATAAAACAAAATGAAAAATTGCAGAAGGATGGGTGGACAGATGACATGCAAGTTTCTAAGTAAGAGTATCACTCAGTGAGTGACCTAGGATTCATTTGGTTCTGCAGCCAAATCTTGAGCTGGCTTAAAAATAATGTGATGTAAGGTTTTCCTTACTTTGATCATGCCCATGCCTAAGAAAAACTGAGAAGCTTAGACAAAGTTTTTATCGTGACAAATTTAAGCTTTCTGCACTATACTATTGGTTTCATAATAACGTATCAGAAAATTCCAGGCAATAAAAGCAAAACACACAAATCACATTCTGAGAAGGATTAAAAGTGAAATAACTGAAACAAAATTAATCCACAAAATGCTCAATACTTAGTTGGGTCTAGTGTTAAAAAATAAGAAAAAAAAATCATTAAAAATTATCTATTCAAATATGAAACTTTAACAAAATAATTAACAGGCAAATTTGGTGCCAAAAGAAAAATGTTTGCCGGGTAAAATTTCACCTGTACACCGAAAGATACTTTGGTCTGAGTATGACTTTTTACGTATAACTGACCAATGGAAGTAGTTATAGTTTGGTAACTTTTTTTTAAAAGATCTGTCATCTTTCCAACTCTAAACCACTATAAACTCTAAACCACTATAAAATGAGTAGTTTATACTTCCTGTTGCCTTAAGAGTTCCATATGAAGTACAGAACTCAAGAAATTATGTTCCAAAGAACTTGTGAGCATTTAAGTTTACTTGTACGTGCTGTGTTAACTTCCTTTCACATCTGATATGCCCTGATCATTGTAAGCTCCCATTCAAAGGATTGGGTCCCATAAATTGGTTCATAGATAAAGTTAAGTTTCAAGATCATTCACTTGCCTATCCTATTTAGCTTTGTCTATTTTCTTATCGAAAAGAGTATTGATAACTGCATTCTCCATGTATGATGTAGCTGATACTTTTCCTTCAGTGAAATTCTGCTTCTAGCAACAAATGCTAACTTCCTGGTAAGGCAGCAGTCAAGCAGGTTGCTAAAAAGTAGGTCCAGCAACAAGTAACCCAAACTTAGCTGTTTAAATGTAAACTATATTTATCCATCAGAATGACATGCCATTATTTATAACATGAAAAGCTCCCTAATCGATCTAAAAGACAAGGCACTGTGACTTCTTTGGACTCTCGGTAAAGTCTAAAAATCTTTCACACGCCAGGCATGGTGGTGTACACCTGTAATCACAGCTACTCAGGAGGCTGAGGAAGGAGGATCAAAAGTTTGAAGCCAGCCTGCCATTTAACCAAATCTTACCTCAAAACTTTAAAAATGGTTTGGGTTGTAGCTCAGCGTAAAGATGCAATCCTCAGTACCGTGAAAACAAAAGAACTCTTAGAACAAGATTAAAATGATGATAACATAATTCTCAAAGCATTTAAATAATTTTGCATGGGCTCTTCTACTATTCACCGTAGAGTGAATGGACTGAAGACGTTTATTTTAATAAAGAAAGTCTGGTCACTGCTAGCTACCATATGGGTTTTAAGCATCATTAAGCAGAACAACAGCAAAAATGTTCTGTACCTCACTAGTCCCCGGGCATTTATCTAAGAGGCAGAGACAGACTTTTTTATATTTATTTTCTACTAGGCGTCCGTGCAGCCATCGAACAGATGTATCCAGAATTGCTCTTATTTTAAAAGAACAGCCTGACTTCACGGATGGAAACGGGCTTCTAACACAAAGGGAGCTCCTCACCGCAGAGGCGCTGATGAGACTGAAGTGCACTGGGCAAGAAGACTCTGTACTTTGCTAACTCACAAACTTCCCCACCGAGCCCTGCCAGACACTGAATCAGTCACAAGAGACCATATGTTTGTACTAAGATGACTTTCACCCCCTGCCTAGTAGCAAACCCCTCTGGGTATCAATCATTTTTACTTTTCCCAATCACCTACGTACCTGCTCCACACTCTCATTTCATCCTCTCCCCGAAGCTGGCCACCCCTCCCACTCAAACAGCGGGAGACTTGCGCGTAAAGGGCGAACTCGATAAACGGACCTAACCGTGCCAAACAAACTCCGGCCAAATTCGGGATCCTATCGATCACAAAAGTAGGTGGGGCTTTTTTACCTGCAGCTCACACCAGGCGACTTCCACCGTGGTTTCGGTGTCCAGCCCTTTGTAGACCGTCTTAAAGGAGCCTCTGCCGATTTCGATGTCGAACTTGAGGAAGCGGCCGTCGTTGGACATCCCCACGGCCTTGGTCTCCAGCTCCTCGATGTCATCCTGCTGCTGGCCGCGCTCCTCCTGCGGCTCCTTGGCGCCGCCGCCGCCGCTGCCGCTGCCGGTCCTGGCCGGCGGAGGCTCCTCTTTGCTCCCCGCCGGGCCGGGCTGCGGGGCCTGCGGCGGGAGGCCCGGCAGCTCCAGCGCGGTGGCGTTGGAGTCGCAGATGACGCTCCGGCGGAAGAAGCGGTGCTCCGTGGTGGTGGTGGCGGCGGCCGCCCCGCGGCTGTCCTTGTCCATGGTGTGGCGGCGGCGCCGGTACTCCTCGGTCCGGCCGGGGACGGCGTCGGACGCCGCGGCCCCCAGCTTCCCTCCCACGGAGGAGTCGGAGCTGGAGCCATTCTTGGAGCCCGGCGCCGGCGGCGACAGGAACAGGGAGCCCGGCGTGCTGCTCTGCTTCTCGGCGGCGCCGCCGGACATGGTGGGTCGGCGGGGCAGGCGGCGGGCGAGCGCGCGATCCGGGCGGGGAGGGC